GGTGCAGTGGGTGACGGTACGGCTCTCTCTCTCTGGTTCACGATCACAGCTAACATGAGGTAGGATCGACCGATGACACCGCCGCAATCAACGCTGCGATTACTGCCGGCAATCGTTGTGGTCAAGGATGTGACTCTTCAACTGTAACTCCAGCCTTGGTTTACTTCCCACCAGGCACGTACGCCGTCAGCAAGCCAATTATTCAGTACTACTACACACAATTTGTTGGAGATGCTGTCACTCTTCCCACCCTCAAGGCGACTGCCAACTTCGTAGGAATGGCAGTAATTGATGCTGATCCATACGCTGATGGTGGAATGTAAGTGTCTGTCGATATGTGGAGTGGATAGAATGCTGACCCGAGCTAAGCAACTGGTATACCAATCAGAACAACTTCTTTAGACAAATCCGAAACTTTAATATTGACCTCACTGCCATGCCAGTTGGTGCTGGTGCTGGCATTCATTGGCAGGTTGCACAAGCGACTTCTCTGCAAAACATCGTCTTTAATATGAGAACCGATGGTGGTGAGGCGAACAAGCAACTTGTGTGTATTCTGCACCGCATTATCAATAATTTCTTGACTAACATACATGATCAGGGTATCTTCATGGATAATGGATCTGGAGGTTTCATGACTGATCTAACCTTCAATGGAGGGCAGTATGGAGCATTCCTTGGTAGCCAACAATTCACGACCCGCAACATGACATTCAACAATTGCCAAACTGCCGTATTCATGAACTGGAACTGGGCATGGACACTCTCCGGTCTCTCTATTAATAACTGCGGCATCGGAATTGATATGGCCAACGGAGGAACCACCGGCCAAACCGTCGGCTCCGTTCTTCTTCTCGACAGCAAGATATCCAATACCCCTATCGGCATCTCTACCGCATTTTCCAAGAGCAACGCTCAGACGAATGGAACGCTAATCATCGAAAATGTTGACTTCACCGAGAATGCTCCTGTCGCTGTATCTAACGCTGCTGATAAGGCTACTGTCCTGGCCGGTAATGCTAAAATCCCCGCCTGGACCCAGGGCAGCCAATATGAAGGCAGCACTCGCACTGTTGTTCAAGAAGCACAAACTGCCCCATCAAAGGCAGCCACTCTTCTTGACGGCGCAGGCAACGTCTTCACGCGCTCCAAGCCACAGTATGAGGCTGAACCAGTTTCTGCTTTCAAGAGTGCTAAGGCTGCTGGCTGTAAAGGTGATGGTGTCACAGACGATACCGCCTGCATCCAAGCCCTTTTCGACTCTGCTGCAGCGTCCGATATTGTCTACTTCGACCACGGCGCGTATCTTGTTACTAACACCGTCAAGGTACCAAAGGACATCCGTATCACTGGAGAAATTTGGCCCTTGATCATGGCTGGAGGTGATAGTACATTTAAGGATCAAGCAAACCCAAAGCCCGTCTTTCAAGTCGGCCAACCAGGTGATTCCGGTAGCGTCGAGATTTCTGATATCATGTTCGAGACCGCTGGTCCACAACCTGGTGCCATTCTCATGGAGTGGAACCTTGCTGGCGCCGCTCAGGGGGCCGCTGGTCTTTGGGATGTTCATTTCCGTATTGGTGGTTCGGCTGGCACTCAACTACAGTCCGATAAGTGCAGCAAAAACCCCACCGTCACTGCGGGACCAAATGAAGCGTGCATCGGTGCCTTTCTGCTCCTCCACGTCACCAAGCAGGCGACCAACGTCTACCTTGAGAACACCTGGTACTGGGTATCCGACCACGAGCTCGACCTTAGCGACCACAACCAGATCAACATCTTCAATGGCCGTGGTGTCCTAATTGAGTCCGAAGCTGGCCCCGTATGGCTATACGGAACATCATCTGAGCACTCTGTTCTATACAACTACCAGATCGCCAACGCTGCAAACGTCTATATGGCCCTCATCCAGACCGAGACGCCATACTACCAATCCAACCCCGACGCCTCAGTGCCTTTCACTGCCAACACTGTCTACTCGGACCCCACATTCACCGGTTCCGCTGCCGTGAACAAGGCATGGGGACTCAGAATCGTGGACAGCAAGGCGGTGCATGTTTATGGTGCCGGTCTCTATAGCTTCTTCGACAACTACAGCCAGGACTGCCTCAAGACGCAGAGCTGCCAGGAGAACATGCTCAGCATCGAAAATTCATCGGACGTCAACCTCTTCGCTTTGAGCACTAAGGCCGCCGTTAATATGATTACCGTTAATGGAAATGGTGTTGCTTTGGATGCGGATAACCGCAATAACTTCTGTGCTGCGCTTGCGCACTTTGAGTTGTAGATCAATCCAAGCTTATGCAAGGATAGATTTTGGCGATAATTTTAAGTGGTTGACACTTGAAAGGGAGAGAAGGGAGGACGCAGATTCGATTCTTGAGATACCCACCTTTCTATGTACATACTTTTTCCCCCTTTATTTTGATGCATCGCACAGAGGCGTGTTTGGGAGAGACATGGTCCCATATGCATGGAGTTCTCTGGTAGACATGGAATATGATGATTTTCATACACTCTGCTGGTATTTTATGATTCTTCTAATTTGTGACTGTTCTATTCCAGCTTTCGCCGTTTGGATACATTCCGAAATTGCATTATCTCTTTTACCCGATACAAGGGTGTTCGCTTTCTGACGGTTAATTTTTTATTGTATTGACGGTGCTGGCGCGATGCACACCATATCGTGCTACCGATAGATATATACATACCACTTTTGCTTCAGACTTAGGCACCAAATTCCTTCTCATATCCTGTCAGAGTAAACCGATATCTCACGTCATTGGCATGCAACCTCTCCAACGCAGTCTTTAATCCCTCAGCACTAATCTCAATCTCCTCCACCCAGCTCTTGATGCCCTTCTCTGCGGCCAGTGCCAACATAGCCAGGACCTCTTTTCTGCTTCCAAGATGACTGGCGCCAATCAAGCATCCATTGCTTAGAAGATCCTGCGCCCTGACTTTTTGTCCTGACCCCTCTGGCAATCCAACACTGACCCATCGTCCATGGACGTCCAACAAGCTAAGATATGCAGCAAGGTCAAAGTTTTCAGTGCTGGAAGAGGTATTGATGATGAGATCGAACGTCATTTCGTGCTCCTTATTCCAATCCTTATCCGCAGTCGCGAGGAAGCCATCAGCACCCAGCTTCTTCGCATCCGCCTCCTTGGAATGCGTTCGGGAAATGACCCAGGTCTCCGCACCGAGGGCTTTGGAGAATAGGAGTCCAAAGTGTCCGATTCCTCCCAGGCCTACGATCCCGACCTTCTTTCCTGGGCCGGCGCCGTTGCGGACGAGTGGGCTGTAGGCTGTGAGGCCGGCGCAGAGCATCGGGGCCGCTTCGGCGGTTCTCAAGGCGTCTGGGATGGGGAAAACCCTGTTCCTGTCAACGCGGTCTTTACTCCGGAATATACCAGACTTCCTTACCAGTGCTCGTGTGTGCGAACATGCGACGAGTAACCACCCTGGCTGATAATTCCCGTATCAGGCCATTTCGCACCATAGGTGTCAAGCTGGTGTTTGCAATATGTCTCGTTGTCGTTCTTGCATTGGCGGCAGTTGAGGCAGGAGTATGATTGCGCTCCGACTCCAACGCGTTGACCTGGCTTGATGAGGGTGACTTTTGGACCGACTCGGAGGGCTGTGCCGACGATTTCTGCCAACCTGTTTAGTATGAATGTCATGAGAGGGAAGGAAAGAAGGGTGCTCACCATGCCCAACGCAAAGAGGAAAATGTTGCTCTCCCCATCCCCCACCTATTTCCCCGCAGTTAGTTTTGCTGAAGGATACACCTCGCCGTTCACTCCAACTCCCCAAGAGCGCATACTTATCGTGTGAATATCGCTCGCGCAAACACCACACGCTTGAATCTTGATATCGACATCGTAGTCACCGAATGGCTTTGGGGTCAGCTCGTTCTTCTTGAACGCGGTCCAATGCTTTGGGTCTTCGATTTGGAAGCCCGTGAAGGTATCTGGGTAGACCATATTTGCAGTTGACGGATTGTTACTTGGTATTTACTTGAACAGGAGAAAATAGATTGGAGCAACTGAGAGAAGGAGGCGTAGAAAAGAGAATAAATCTCACGAACTAGAAAGAAAGTAGAGCGAGGAACAAAGGTAGGCACTTGCCTGCTCTATAGACTGGCTGGCTGCTTTTTTCCCCAAGCAACCCCACCATTGCGGCGGGGTTGTGAAGTGGTTTCTTCTTGGTGATGTTGGATGTCCCCTGGTGTAGAGTGGGATATTTTATCCGCTGCGAGGATGTGCCCGTTTGCAGGCTGAATTATTCCACCAATCATAAATTATCCCTCTATGAGAAGCACTTTCTGATTAGGTTATTAAAATAATTTCAGGTAAACGTTGCTTGTTAGTAAAGTATAGATGCAACTCTGAAATGTATTAATATGTAGATGGCAGCACAAAGGGGAAATGGGTTCAAGGCCGACGCGTTGGAAACTCTGGTATCTTGAGTGTTCAAGGTCTAGAAACAAATTACAGTAAGAGATAGGGACAATGCAAAATGAGAAAAGGTTAAGGGAAGGTAAAGCACTGAAAGAGGCGACTGGGCATAAGATAGGCATTACTTACAAAAGCGCAAGGAGGAACAAGCAACAGAATCAATCAATCTACCTAGAACACAGTACAGGTACGTACCTATCTGAAGGTCGCGCTAACCCAATGACAAATAATTCCTGCAAGTTTTCAAAATCTCACAACAGTAGATAGAATTCTAGTGAAAAATAATAAACCATACATATATATATATATATATATATATATATACAACAATAATAAAGTCTTCCACATCATTTGTGAAAAGCAATAAATGCATACTTGTAAACACAACCATAAAAAACGGGTGTGGTATCGCAAATCACGTGATACACAGTAGAACAAATGTCGGGGGCAAAAAGGGGTTCATCCCCATAATGATACAATCGATCATAGAATCAGTATACACCAATCAGGTACATAGAGTTTAAAACAAAAAACAAAATTCGACCCCGGGAAGATTCGAACTCCCAATCTCTAGAGCATTTCACGGTGATGTGCCGAAATCTAGCGCGTTAACCATTACGCTACGAGGCCTCTTAATATTGATTGTGGTATTTCGCAAACTTTAATCAAACTATATATCTGTAGTACAATACAAGCTAAAGTCAACCCCAATAATATTGACTTTTTCGAACTTACCCAACTAATGCCTAACGCACAGTAAGTATTGTGTCTCATTCTTCGCTTAGCCTATATCTGATCATCCTACAGAGATTTTGGTCCGAAATACCCTTGAGATTGGAAGATCGAATTTTTCCCTGGGTCATGATAATCTTCAGCGAAGTCAGCTTCATATACTCTTTCTGTGTTTGATACTCCGGAGATTCATCCTTCTTCTTGGCATTAGGCTAACCGGTATAAGTGCTCATACTTAGGACAATTCTAACTTCTCTGTGCTAAAATAGCTTTCTAAGTTCGGAGTTCTATTAATCTATTTTTGAATAGCATCTATGCTGTCTATAATTACATTGATAGGATCATAACTTAACATCTCGGCTTTAATCTCTTTTGCTCTTCGTCTAAAGTGACTGTCCTCTAAAATGCTGGTAACGCCCGCTTCTATCATTCTAACCGACGGTTTATCCGTTCCCAGATCTATTCCAACACCACTCCAACTGCAAGAATTTTATCAGTTAAAAGATAGACAAGCCACAGAGGGTACCTACCTAACTCTTGCACAATTTTCTGCCTTATCTGCATCCTTGCCAGCCACAAGTTGCGGCACACCATGCCCCAGACCATGCTGAATAGCACCATATCCTCCATTCGACACAAAGCAATCCGCGTACTCCAGAATCTCATCATAAGGAAGAAAGTCCGCAACTCTCGCATTACCTGGCACGAAAGTGCCCACCGGTAATTCGACTCCATTCTTCCCCAAAGCTACCACAACAATAATGTCTTTCCTATCTTTCAGCGCCTGCATCGTGGGGATGATTAGATCGTTGGGGTTCATTGACACTGTTCCCTGAGCTACGAAAATGACCTTCCTTTCTCCTTTACCGGTAATATCACCCCACCAATCTGGAAGTTTAGGTGAGGGATCTCGGAGGCCCACAGGTAAGCCTCCTGCGAAAATCAGTGTTGTTGGAGCATCGGATCGAGGGTACTCGAATGATGGTGTACACATTTGCACGAATTGGTTCAGTAGGTGATAATTTGCATCTCTGATGAATAGATCCGTGTCTCGTGCTCCAAGATTCTTCAAAACATTTCTAAACCTACTGTGTGTCAGATATCTCGCCACTTTCACCTCAAGATACTCACCCTTTCTGAGACTTGGCGAAAGCTATCTCTTGATCTTCAATATGCCGTTCCCTGTTTTTCTTCCTCCCTTCCTCTGTGCCGTCAGGTAGTGACCCCGGCCCGAATGGTGCAGTATCAACACTAGACACCGCAACAGGAATAATGCCAACCCCAACATACCCTTCAACACGCAGCCCATCCTCCACGTCTCCGGCCCCTAGAATCTTCGGCAACACGCCCTTAAACCATCCCTCAACAAGCACCACAACCTGCGTCTCCCTACCAGACGTCCTCTGAATATTCCTCAGCGCCTTCTGCACACCATGAAACTGACTAACACCCATCAGCACGCCATCCATTCCAATCACCACTCATTTCTTCCCTGCTTCACCAAAAACCATCTCCTAAATATTCAAAAATTAAAAACTCACTCCTCAATAACACTAACAAAGTAATCCTGTTGCTCTTCCGCTCTACTCGGCTGCAATCCCGCTGGGTCCCCTTTATCGACACCCTTATACCCGCTATCAACCCTCTCCTGTGTCAAATCCGCCTCTCCTTCCAAGGGAACGAATGTAGCGCCGATAGACTCTATTGCTGAGCGGTAATCAGTCCCTGTGAGGAATGTGACGGGGTACGACCTCTGGATCAAAGACCGGGCGATGGCACGGAGGGGCATCACGTGGCCATAGACAGGCGTTGAGCAGATTAAGAGGTGGGGGTTTGTCATGTTGGCGGGGAGAAAGGAGGGTAGCGATGGAACAGAAGGAGAAGAAAAGAAGATGGCAGTTGGGACGTGTAACAATGGCGAGGTTACTCTTTGAGATAGCTGTTGGGGTTGATCAATGCGAAGTCGGATTGTTTTGATGGGTAAACAAGGTATTGTTTAATGCACAGTGGTGTTACCCGGTACATCGAAGCAAGCAACCCATTATTTTTACTAATGGATAATATCATATAGCCGAAACTTACAACGCATTCTTCAATTTAGTTGGGGGAAATATCGTCAAAGTATTACCTTCCTACAGAACGAGGTGTGGTTCACCGTAACAAAAATAGGACTAAAGCATGTCAATGGTACAAACACGTGAGATATTATATGATCCAACTTGTTGAGAGCCCTTTGGTCTTGTTTTTGTAGAATTTTAAATTTGATTCCGCTCTTATCTAATGCGTATCATCATTTGGTTGTACGTCCTGAATATACAGCGAACCTACTTTCCAAAAGACTCATAAAGTGCCTTGAAAGACGAGTCCCGTCCAAGCAACGTCTCTGGTCTATCAAACTCAATGATCTCTCAGTTGTCAAGAACCATAATTCTATCAAAATCGAGAACATTTGACAGGCTATGTTCAACGGCCAGAATAGTTCGACCGCTGAACTCATTTCGAATAAGCTGCTGCATGAGAACGTTTGTGGCTATATCAACACTATATATCAACCTCAAATATTAGTAGACGTTTCAAAATAAAAGCGAAAGACAAAAATAAATTAATTAAAGAAACTAACCTACTACATGCTTCATCAAGAAGTACAATGCGATCACTACAAAGAATCGCTCTAGCCAACGCAAATAACTGACGTTCACCATGCGAGATTGAGAGTTGGGATCCCGTGGTATCCAACCCTTCTTTCTGTTGTAGAAGGCTCCAAATTTGAACCTTTCTCAAAGCTTGGATAATGGCGTCATCCGAGTGCTGGCATTTTGAATCAAGTGCAAGGCAAATCGACTCATCAAAAGCACTATCTGAACAAACATAACAAGTGGTGCGCCAAGGAGAGACAATACCGTTAGTGAAGCAAAAGCCTGAGAAACGGGCAGGCTTTGCTCAATCTTGACTTTTGCGATAATAGTGCAAAGAGATAATGTCAACACTGGCGCTAGAACATTGGCAGCCTCGGCTACTCATGATATTAGCATCTGTACAAAGTTCCATAAATGGAAGGCTCACAGAGCACTAGACTTCCAATCATCAAAATTTGAAAGCCCAGCGAAGCCTTGACCTCATGTACTAGTGACTCTTGAAGAAGCTTTGAAGCTCTTGCTGTAAAACTTATCATTTTCGCTGATTTGATAGAACTGTGTAAAGACTCAGTGGCACAGAGCCGTGTATGAGCAGCGTCAAGCCAAGTATCGTGGCCTTTGCCGATACTACCAGATAACAGCATCGATCCGGATGTGCAACCTATGTTATTTGTTAGTAGTTTCCATAATGATTGGATATGCAGCTCGGAATACGTGAGGCAAGAATCATGGGCATCACACAAGCAACGCCTACTTGTTATTCAAGAAGCCATAGAGCTAGTCTTAACTCAATTGCATTTGCCCATACCTGATGCAACTCTTGGGAAACCATACAAATCCTTTCGACATCGACACTCATCAAAGTGGATGCAGCCGTATCGTTAACTGCTTTAAGATCCAAATCCATTACCTTAGAATATATGATTAACGTGAGGCTCCTTCAGATTAGAACTGTTGCTTGAGACATCTTGTACGAATGTCTGCCAGTGGAGATCTGAAAACCGCATGGTTAATACTTATCATCCGCCGTAAGGTGGTTGGTTGGCTTACAGCGATTCCCAGGAACACCAATGCATATGCTCCGATTAACCCGTATCCATAGTTTATCTTCACTCCTGGTTTCTCCCGACCGAGCGAACCGAGAAGAGCATTCATTAAAAAGGGCTGGGCAAAATTAGAAGCTGTTATACATAGCCGAGGGAAGACGCCAGCGAGAATTTGCCACCGGAATGTCTTGAGTACGGCAAGGAGGAAGGCGTGGCGTGCTTGGGGCAAGGCTTTATAGTCTTAGTAGCTACGCCAGGGAGAGCACATATGCGAAACAGGGGAAGACCAAAGCATACCATTTAACCAGAGGTCGAGCGAGTTTTGCAGAACATTTGAGCGAAATTCTTTGTTTCATATCCTTGAGGTCACCAAAGCAGAAAAAGCTTTGACTGCCTGATCTAAGCAACCGATTTAACCACCAAAATATGCTGACATTTAAAATTCCACTCGTACTCTCGATCGTCAAGAACTTATACTCAGTCTTCAAGAGATCCCTCTTCTCCGCACTTTCTAAGATAGCTATGTAAAACTTTGCCGCAACAACCGTAATAAATGTCCTAGTGATGGAATCGTTGCCATCGATGAACCATAGTGTCCGAGCTCTCGCTGCATCAAGGAGAAGGAAAGAAGTAAATAGACTTGTAACAACGTCGAATGGCGTATGGAAGGACTATGCTCTAGCAGAGATAATCTTAAAATAACTGCGGCATCAAGACACCAAAGGCTTCTACTGGAATAGAGAACTTGGTGCTTAAAATTCTAGGGCGAGTCCATAGCACAAGCGAAGCAACTTGCAGGGATGTATATGCCAATATAGTGATCTTACATTCATCATCAGCATGATATATCTTAACGGAAGCGGGAAGAATAAGAAGACACGCGATTCAGTCTCTCCTATAGAACTTACAACTTTCAGAACTTGTAACTGGGCAGGTCGGACTTTGCTCTGTTCTCTTCGTAATTGCCAGATCCGTAATGCAGCTAGTATCAAGAATAGGATTGACGGCCCGACGAACAGAGTGAACTCTTCGGAAAATAGGGTGGAATTAAATCATCAACTTGAGGCCACAGGGCCGAATGAATAATCTACTTCGTTGCGCTGAAGCCCTATCAACCGAGGCGTGAAATTGGTTGTTGAGAACCCCCACCCCCCAATGATGCTGGTGGTCGAGGGCGTGACATGGTAGAACTCGTGGTATTGATAGCAAGGAATAC